GAAGGTCCGGCGATGGTGGACGAGAACGGAGAGCCGTTGACGCCGACGTCGGCGTGGAGGGCGGCGGAGAAGCTGGCGAAAGTGGCGATAATGAAGAAGTCGTTAAGGAGTAAAGTGGGGGATTTGCACGGCTTCGAAAACGCGAGGTTTTAGAAAGAAACAACAAACAACAATTACAAACAGCAACAGCAACAGCAACTCAACTGTATTATTATTTAATTAGAGAGAGGGTTGGAAAAAGTACAGTAGAGAGTTGAATTAGAAGGTGAATTCGTGACAGCTCCCTGAACAAATTGATTGGACTGTCTTCTACACTGTCCTAGACCTACACTACTCACACAAAACGTTTCAGTTTCTGTAGCTTTCATTGTAGAGTAGCAGAAATTAATTTCAAAGCATGAACCAGGAAAGTTACATTTCAAATGGTGATCCATGTTATGGAGTAAAGGGTTTGGTCAAAGAGGAAGGGAATGAATGATATGATGAGCATATGATTTCTTCTTCTTTTTCTATGGTGGGGGTTTTCATGTTTCAACAATTTCAAACAGTGCAATCCGGAAATCTTGCTCCAACTTTAACACACACTCACAACAATCAATAATTCTATGTATCTAGATATCTATTCATCTTGCTCTGACATCTCTCGATCAAATTCTTTGCATTTGATCTCAATCCAACTCCCTTTTGGCCTCCGAAAACGACCTTTTTCTAACCAAATGATTTGATAAACGATCGATTTTCTTTCTTGTACATCCAACGATGTAAAAATAGTCTGGTTGGCTCGCTCCTATGTTTTCGGGTCTTAGCTGGGTGGATGCGTTTTCCTTTGAATTGAAGGTAGTGAAACATAGGGTGGGGAAAGAATGGTCCAAGTGATCCAAGCCACAACTTGTTGTGTGTGGGGCTAAGACAGCGTTTTGTACCATTACTTGTTATCTTGTTGTTCATAAGTTTAGTTGGTATGAACAATAAAAAAACAGCGATTGATTGTGGGCGGTGGGGTTGCGGAGAGATTAGAGATTGGTCCACTTGCATCACCCACAAGCCAAGGGAACATAAGAGAGAAGACTCAATTAATAGAATCAAAAAACATGATGGCAAGATGAAGCATTGTGTTCTTTTTATCAAACATGTCAATCAATATATATATATAGATTCAATCAATGCCACTCGCTTTCTCCTGCCACCTACCGTTTCAATATATATTTCTTTCGATTTCTTTTTTTGTCACGTTTTAAAAAAATACGACCCGTAAACTCAAAACGCTCATTTTACTGTTGATTGTGTCGTCAGATTTTCAACTTGTCCAACTCTACCTTCTTTATAGTTCTGAAATCGTTGCAATTAAACTCTCTGCTATAATAGCCTAAGAGTGGCGAGTTAGATGTAGCTAATGTTATCAATTTGAGAGTTAAAAGGGTTTATGGGTTAATTATAATAATTATTTTAGTTCTACGTTTAAGGGAGGCTTTGTGCATTTTGGTTGCAAATGAGATTAAAATTCCTAATGGTAACAATTTCAATGGCTAACCTTTTGTCAAACATTTAACTATGGTCAACGGGAGATTTCTACTTATGCTAGGTAAATTTTTTCCACAAAATTATCATTATTCGTGAGTGAACAGGTCAATATGTTTTAATTACATATATATATATATAATATTTTGATTATTTTAATTAATGTTTAAAACTTTAAATCAAAATCATATATTATCTAAATTAATAATTATCACAAAAAACAACTGAACAACAAATATATCTACTTCTTTTTTTAAAGGTGGAAATTCAAATTCTCAAACTTCATCTGCGTTGTACTAAAACAATTATCGGCGAGAACAAAATTGATTACTAATTAAGTCAATGATTGACTTAAACTTATAATATACAAAGGTTATACACTAATGACAATTATATTTACTTTGCTTTGAAAATTTTTAGCTCCACTCCACCCCAGCCGAAAAATAATGCCACTTATATTTATTGCGTAATAATAAAAAAGACACATTATTATAAAATAATATGCACACATATATAGCTTGACGAAGATGATCTCATTGTTAGTAAGGAGGTTTAAATTCTATTTCTGTTTTTAAAAATTCACTTATTTAATTTTAATTCTTATGCCGCGATTTTTTATTGATGCCGTTTGTTTAAGTTTTTGCCGAGCCTTTATGCATGAAAATGTTACATATTTATTGAGAGTCAATTTCAAATATTTTCAGTAATAGAATTCAATAATTATTCAAATATATTATTCTTGATACATGTGTAACAATAATTAAATGCATTGTATTTTCAATACTTAACACCAAATTTTGATAATTTATATGATGCTTAAATTTTTAAAAATATTTTTCTGAACAATTTGTATGTTTCATTATCAAAACACGATACACAGAATCATATTTTATTTTTTATATGGTTCAATAGTTTGTGAATGGAATGTAATAAATATTGAAACAGCGTTTATATTTAAAAAAGACAATAATAAAATGAGAGATCAGAGAACTTTTAGATAAAGAAATCTTCACATGAGAATTGGAACTTGAAACTCTACTCTTCTGGATCTGTGTCCATGTGATTCTTTTTTGCCCTTTTTACAAATAATAATAAATAACAAAAGGCATATGCTGACACTGAAAAGGTTATACAATCCCAAGGGCATAGCCTGTTTTATTTCAGAAAGGGAAAAGTTCATTCAGTTCTACATAAATCCTCTAATTAATTTAATTTCTCTGGCAAAATATAAAAAAAGTTTAGATCTCATTAGTTAAATTAATAGTTTTCTTTTGGGTGTTAAAATTGCAGAGCTTCATCACCTTCAAACATGGATTATGATCACTAATTGAACTCCAATTCAATTTCATATTAATACCAAATTTAAACTCAGATTATAAATTTAATTTCTGTATGGTTTGATTTTAGCTTTCAGTTTTAGAAGTTGAAATGTAAAGAATACAAAGAACTCAGTGCATATGTAGCTGAAAAAATTTCAAGAGTTTTATCTGCATTTTTATGCCTAATTTTTATTTGATAATAAATATGAAAAGAAGCAGAGCAAGAGATATGACAGAGAAGAATCAAGGATTATCTCTATATATTCAAAATCAGTATCTTAATTACAAAAATTAACCACATTTCAGATTACAGATTACAAACTCGGTACAGGATTTGGCTCATCCAATAATACCCCAAATGTATTCTACACAACAGCTGAGAGACCAGGTTTCACCAGTGTCAATACACAAACCATCAAATGAAAAGTTCCTGGGAAGGGATAAACGATGTTTACCTACGGATTTGAGATCAGGACGGGACCGGGGTGAGGATTTTTCCCCTTATTTTGAATTGTGGAAGTAAAAGTAAAGGATTTTGAATGAGAGTTTTATATAATAAGAGTGCTTACTTCTGGTTTTGTTCCACTTTAGCTCTGATCTTCTGTTCCAACACCGCTATCTCTGTCTCGAGGCTGAACATTCTATTTAGAGCGTGCATGTTCTCCAAGGTCTCGCTCAATGTCCTGCTGTCGCTCCCATCGCATCTCAAATGCTGCATAGGACCATGAAGCAGCTTGTTAACTATACCTCGGCTGAGATCGTCCACAGCTCGTCGAGTTTTCTTTGGGATATCATCACCCATCTTGGATAGACATTTTTCTAACTCTGCAGTTCTGATTCTTTCAGCATAAGCCCTCAGTTTCTTTATCGTTGGAACAGTCTCCAACGAATCCCTCCATGCTTCAAATTGTTTGGATTCTTCAGTGATAATTGATTGTGCTTCCATTGCTTTTCGGAGCCGATCCTCCTTATTTGCAGCAACTACCTCCTTAAGGTCATCGACATTGTAAACTCGGACATCTTCTAGATCATTGATGCATGCTCCGACGTTCCGAGGAACAGAGATATCAATGAAAAGCCTTAGGCCTCCAACATCATGCCCAACAGGGGGGAGATCCTTAACCTGCTCCTTTGTAAACAAAAGGCTTTCAGAAGCTGTGCTGGTAAATATCACGTCTGCTTCAGCAGCAGAACTAATCATTTCGGTAAGGGGCTTATAGATAATTTCGACGTCCTCGATCTCCTCACGGATGGCTGTAACTCTCTCTTCAGACCGATTCACAACAACCATCTTTGTGCAGCCTTTAGCTACCAAGTGTTTGATTACAAGCTTTCCCATCTTACCAGCTCCAATCACCAGCATTTTAGCAGAGGCATGTGATGTTTCAGGAAGCTTCATCAAGGCCAATTCTACAGCAGCAGAACTCACAGAAACAGCTCCAGCAGCAATATTCGTCTCTGTCCTTACCCGCTTCCCGACCGTGATAGCGTGCTTGAAAAGCCCACTGATGTTCCTTCCAAATCCTGCAACACCCTGCCCAACTTTGACAACTTGCTTAACCTGAGCAAGGATCTGGCCTTCTCCTAGGACAAGAGAGTCAAGACCAGCTGAAACTTCGAAAATATGTTGTGTGGCATCATTGTTATACAGCAAAAACCGGTGCTGGCAAATCTCTGAGACTGGGATTCCACTTGACTGAAGATAACAGCAAAAGAAAATATAACCAACTATTCATACAATTTCATTCTTTACACAATTTCAAAACAAAAACATATTCTTTACTGGTGCTGGTTTGAATCATGAAAGCATAAAGTGTTGGCCAAACGAAGGTGAATATCATATGACCTTCTTCTAATCTTTCAATACTCGTGGTTGTGCAGTAATCTCATGCAGAACAAATATCTATCTAGCCATATAATTTTGACATAAATAAACTAATAATATATTTAATACCGTACTCTGAATCCTTGACACGCCAAGAAAGATACAAGCTAAAACTTGGAAGTGCTTAAAAAGCATAAAACCAGATAGAATAGAAAACAAAACCAAAAGTGCATAATCTAACGTGAAAAAGAGTCTTCTATGATTATGAATCTTAACATCAATCTATACAACGGCAATAGAGTTCTTGTTCAGATAAACATCAATTTTTCAGCACCCAAAACTTCAAAATAATAAAAAGGAGAAAGACAGAACCTTTGACATCCATTCAGTCACTTCTTTGACTCCACGATGCTGAGATAAAGCGACAACATATATCTCCATTCTGTTGCAGGTGCTAAGAACGGCTGCTTCTTCGATGTGGTTCAAGCCACAGAGCTCTCCTATGGCGCGAGGCCACTCTGCCTCAGGAATGGCCAGTTTTTCTCGCATTTCAACAGGTGTTGTATGAATACTAAGCCCAATCACAACAATGCTACTTCTCTCCTTTGTATATCCTAATTTGGTACAGAACAAACCCAAAACTTTCAGCAAACCATCCAATTTGAAAAACTCCCATCATGTAGCATTTCCAAATAGAAATTCAATCAGATAACCAAAAGCTCATTATGGAAGTCAATCAGTGACGAATGACCAAAAATGGAACTGGGAATTTCGAAACTAGAAGTAATTATTAGAATCCTATTGCAGATTCAAGCAATGGCAAAGTCACAAGAATCAGAAAGACATATATATATCAAACCGGAGGGGGGGAAGACATACTGTCAGCAGCAGAGGTCTTGAGCTGTTCAAGCGCAGAGAGATTGGAAGCTGTAGCTCGATCAATTTCGTCATTCTGAACAAGAACATCGGAAGAGGAAGCAACCTCACACCTCACTGGGGTGAAGGACGGAAACCCAGTTCTGTGAAATTGAACTCTCCTGCTCCGAATGGAATTGCAGAAAACGGGAAGCTGAGAAGAGGAGGAGCCCCGGGAAGTGGCGGCGGATTTCAACAAGAGGGCTTCCAATTTGGCACCGGAAAAACTGGTGGAAACAGCCATCGCGGGGAAGCCCTAAACCCAGAGAAAGAGGAGAGAAGTAGAAGTGAAATTGAATGAACGGGGGCTGTTCGAAATCAACAAAAATCGCGGAGTTCGTCAAATGGGATGAACGTGGAAGGTCGTTTGTGCAAAAAGTAAGAGTTGGTGGGTTCAAAAACAATAATTGACCTCTTTCGGAAATGGGAATTGCGATTTGGGATTTGGGAATTGGGATTTTCGATCAAATCAAAAGGAGGAGAAGGATTTTGAGACCTGAAGGTTTGTGATTTCTCTGCGCTGTGATTGGCGGGTGGAACACACGCTTTATCCACACTCATTTCCAGCCTCTATCTTCTCTTCTCCCTCAGTATCAGATTGTCCTAATCTCTATTTGGGTCCCCCTCCCCCAAACATCACCATTTTTGGGGTTTCTATTTTTTCATTTCATACCCCTCCTCCTAGCTACCATGCAGAAAATTCTACCATGCAGAAAATTCGAACTCACAATTTTTTAATTGAAAATAAATGTTAACCAATGATATTCAAGTTTGTAATAGAAAAATTATATAGAAGAAAAGTTTGAAGGTAGCAAAATTTTCTATTCTAAAATGTCATTAAAAAAATTAACGTAGCTAAAATAATATTGATATAAAATTTAGAGGCTAGAAAATTTGAAAGTTTGTACGAGGATTCAAATGAGATATAAGTACCAAACTACCAATCTAAATAGAATTTAAAACGTATTATATATTTTTAGTTATTTTCCTAGATTTAAATGAAACATTAAAATTAATCATCCTATTTTCAACAAAATTTGTAAGCTTACCTAACAAAAAAACAATTTCAAGGACTATTTTGAAAAGTAACATTATGCTCACTATAATGTGTATAATATTTATAATATAGAAGAAATATTTTTGTTCAACAATATTGATTTACCCTTACTTTTTACCTAGAAAATAAACTTTATGCTAATCTATAAATAGATATATAGTATATATAAAGATGCATATATTTATCTTTTCTTTTAGTACGATGTGGTGGTGGAAATTCGAACTCTCAATTTTATAGTTGGGTACATATGTCTTAACCCGTCGAGTTATACTCTAATTGACATATATCTATCGGATACTGTTGATTTGTCCAACTTAATATTTGAATTAATATCTAAAATTAGTTTTGAATAATTAATTGTTAGAAATTTAATCCTAAAATTTTTATTTCCTTTTTGGGTGCATTTTGATGCCAATCGAATAAGTTCTTACCCATTTTTATTTTAATGTGTTGAATTTTGGAGCTATCGTCTCCTCTTCAATTTTTGTTGGGATTCTTAAAAAAGAAAAATATCATCGTTCCTATGAACATGTCTGGTTGGTGAAATGTTAGACACACAACTATCAATATCTCATAATAAATGATTTTAGTTTCAAATAGTTTTTAAAAAATATAAAATATATTCAAATCTTATTTAAGAAACTGTAATCCTTGCTTAACTTTACATCTTACAATCCATACTCATCGTGATATTATTATTCATTCCAATGTTTAATTGTTTAAAATAAGAATTGGGAAATGAAAATTATTGTATACCAATTCTTAAGTGAACGAGTTGTTATTAAATTTAAACAAATATTTATGATATTTATATTACTAATACATATATTTTGATTGCTATTATACTCTTCGCGATACCCTTTCATGTTTAATTGTAAAATAAGAATAGAAAAATGAAAATTATTGTATACCAATTCTTAAGTCAACAATTCAATTTGTCAAAACAAGCATAGTTCAATGGTAATTGGCATATATCTCAAACCAAGTGAGTTCGATGTTCACTTGTACTAAAAAAAAAAGTAAACAATTCAATTTCAAGGAGTTGTCATTAAATAATTGAAACAAATATTTATGATATGTATCTTCTTTTGATTGCGATCATACTCATCTGATATTCCTTTCATGTGTAATTGTTTAAAATAAGAATAGGAAAATGAAAATTATTGTTACCGATCTCTATTTTTTTTTCCCTCGTAATATTGTTAAGAATATTTCATATATTTGTTGTAATGTTAAGAGTGAGATAAGATGAGAAGAGATTGGGGGTGGAAGGATATGTGATGGGGATTGGTTCATAGGATTTCAGGGTCTGTGTTTGCCACAAGTTTCTCACAAAGTCCTACGTGGACAAGAGTGTGACACTCGCATTTCATCTTTAAATTGCATACATTCAAATTACTTTATATCATCTCTCTTCGTATTTATTTCTGGTCTAACATCAAATTAAAAGCATGCATTACACTAGTCGTGTTTACGCGTCGGGTTGGCTTAGGTTAATGAACCTTTTAGACCCAACTCAGCTGTCTGGATTATAAAATTTGTTCAACCAAAATCATCCTAATTAGGTTAAATGAATTATTTGGATCGAGTTTATTGTTTTAGTTATTCGAGTAATAGTGAAAATTTAATTTTTTTAAGTATTTGTCTACTCTTTTTTTTATTACCAGGAGTCGGCGGCTTTTAACATTTATGCCCCTATACTTAGAAGGTACCATATCTGTACATACGTAAGGGGGTCATTGCTTAAGTATTTGTCTACTTCTTTTCGAAGTTTGGAGTATTTATCTACTAATTTTCAAGTTTTGAATTCTTATGAATGACTTAATATTAAAAAATTTCAATTATATGATCCTGAAAATATTTTATAAATAAAAACTTAATGTATACATCAGTACAAGATTATTTTATTAACATATGAATGTACCACTCAAATATTACTTGAAACCTGAAACTCAATTATTTGTCAAGAAAATTCATTTATTCTCACTAAAATATGAATATGTTAACAAAGACAACATATTTTTCAAAGTTAAGAACTTCATTCATTAAGATTTTAAAAATATATATGCATTAAAAGTAAAATTGAGAATTTAAAAAAACCAATAAAAACCTAGAAAAATAGTAAGTTTAGTTAGCAATAAGTTTCATTCTGTTTAGTTTAACCGTGAGCTAACTTTATGAGAGTGGGTAATCTAATTCCAACTTAACTTACAAAACGTTAAATTGATTTGAACCTAACTTAACTCAATCTATACGGTAGTAGTTGGATTGATCGGGTTTTAAGAGACGATTAGAGAAAGAGAACAACAACCGGTTTCCTTGATATGAAAGTAGAGAACAAAAACACTCAATTGACAGCTCTATTCTTAATTACAATACAGACACATGTACATAAATAAATAAACACAACTTGGCCAAATATATTCTCCTCTCCTTGGGTTAACATTATAATTATGATGTTTGATGAAGATTTAAGGTTTCCTTAAAAAGAAAACCTTTGTCTTCAAAAAACCTCATTAAGGTTCTGATTTTAGTAAAAATTGAGGTGGATTCCAAGTTATGTTTGTTGTTGCCAACAGTTTTTCATGAATCCTTTTTCTCGTTTCAAACATTTTAATTAATTTAGCTTATGAACCGCAATTTATCAATCAAACTAATCTTCTTTTGATTTAAAGAGTGAAACAAAAATCCAGGGTCGAACCTTCCCCTGTCTAGAAAAAAAAACAAGTGTAAAAAACAAATGGCGCATTTAGTGATAATTTTGTTTTTTGTTTAATGTATTTGTTTTTTTTCCCTCATCTTTCGTATTTAGGAAATGTTTCCAAAATTATATAGAAATTTTGAAAAAAAAAAATAAAAGAAAATTTCTTATTTCTTACTCATGTTTTTGACTTTTTTTTTCAAAAAATATACATAAAAACATTATTTTTTTCATTTTTATTTTTAAAATGCATAATAGAAAATAAAAAATAAAAATAATATTT